TGTGCAGGGTTTTAAAGTGGAGGGGGGGTGGGGGGCTTCTGGTCTCCATGATCCCGGGGCAGTAGAGTTCACAACGGTGACCAGAGCGGTCCATGTCAGGCATTGTGGGACAGCTGCTGGAGGACTGTTAAGGTCGACATAGGAAACGCAGGTTCGACATTTGCGCTGCATTGACCTCAGCTCTTTGACCACGGTACTTTGACCGCGCCCGGCAGCGGTGTTACCGTGTTGCCATAGCGGGGAGCTTACATCTGTGGGAGACAAACTGAAGGGGAGACACATACCCAGCTAGGTTGATTCAAGAGGACTTATGTCACCCTAAGTTTGCAGCGTAGACCAAGCCTTAGACAGGGACAGTTTAAGAGCACGTTGGCTGGTACCAGCCGACCTCGGAGTCCCAGCTAACACATTTAAAACCCCACTTTTTGTCTAGACTTGGTGCTGAGTAGGGTTTAAGAACGTGTTAATTACCACGTTAACTAATAGGTTTGCCAAACATGCCTCCTTTTCCCAGTCTAGCCAAGGCCAGGGCATTTAATTACAGTCCTTGGAAGAGCTGGTCGCTGGGAGGCACTCACAGGGCTCTTTCATTAATTAGCATTAGAACTCCACCAGGATTTAAAGGCTGCACCATTTGTTCGTACATGGCCCTAAACAGCTTTTACCTGCAGGCTGGTGGCAGGCAGCCAAACATAGGGCGAGCGGCCTCTTTCCTGTCCATTGTTCTCATATTTAAGTTGTAATCTCTGGCTAGTGTGTATGTGCAGCACTGACCTCTACGGGACAAGACCAAGTAGTGTCATAAGCTCTATTCTGCTGGCACCATATGAAGATTCTCCTTTAGCCCTGTGCTGTCAGTGGAGGAGGATCAGCTGCCAGCGTGATGGTTTGGATGGCTGCAGCGTGCAATCCATACAGGCCCAGTCAGCCATGGATTTGTCGCAGGACCCATCTACCAGCCCCAGGGGAGTCTGAGCTCACCCCTGATGCTCTGCGAGGCCCAAGGGAGGGGAACTCAGAGCCAAGGGACCCTAGATCTTCAGTAGCACATGAAAAGCTGCCAGCTGATCAAGAGGGGAAAGTCACCCGCTTCCTCCCCTCCTTAAGCAGATTTGCTCAGTGCAGCCCCAGAATAGAGCAGGCAGGCTCATGCGTCAGCAGGATCACACAGGCCCAGGAAGAGGAGGGGAGGCTTGGGAAGGATTAAAGTGGAGAGGGACCTTGGGTAGGCAGCAAATGAGCAAGTAGCTTCCCAAGCAAAGTGACGGTCAGGAAGCTAGTGGGATTATGAGCATTTCAGGGCAGGGAAGGACGAGTTACCTCTGCAAGGAGACGCTAACTAATGAGCCTATCGCCACTGGGTTCGTACAGCAACAGAGCCTCTGCATCTCCAACTGCGTGGCTCAGCCCCAGAGAGCCAGTGCGCCGTGAGGAGGGAATGGAAAGAGGAACAAAGCTTAGCAAGGGGCTGATTTTGTACCCAGCCCCGTACAGCTCCCTTCATCCACAGCTCCCAAAGGGGCAGTGTTAACCCCACTTTACTGATGGGGAAACTGAGGCAGCCAGCAGCAAGGGGACTCTCTCAAGGTCACGTAAGGAGTCAGTGGCAGAGTCGAGGGATAGAACCCAGGCTTCACAGCTCCCACCCAGCCCGGAGCCCTGTCATTGGACCTTACCATCTCTCCTTGGTTTGTTAACACTTCCCGGAGGGGATAAAACAGTCTATGAATATCGGGAATGGGGCAAAAACTGTCTGGCTTCCAGCATGGCTGGGAAGGAGCCACTCTAGCAGAATGCCAGCCTGGCTCTCCGCTCTGCCCCAGCACAGGGCACGAGGAACAGCAAACATCTCTTTGGGTGGGAATTGCTCATGAGGGCACAGTCGCACTGGGGAAATGGGAAATCTAGGGAGGAAGATGGTGCCAACGGCTTCAGCCAAACCTGCTCGCTGCGAAGACAGACTGAGCTAGAGACAAGAAGTGCTCTTCGCCGTGGATCCGGAGAGTAGAAAGGGTTCCACTGATAAAAGCGGAGACTCCCGTTTCCATGGGCTCAGGTAATCACAGCAGAGTAGGGCTGGAAGGGACCACGAGAAGTCAGCAATTCCAACACCTGTGCTGCTACGGGGCTGGTGAGAGCGTCAGGTGCGAGTTCCATGCCCACCTCTGGCCTAAGGGTAAACTACAGCCCGGGGGCCGCATCCAGGCTTCCAGATGTTTTAATGTGGCCCTTGAGTTCCCGCCAGCTCCGTGCAGCTCCTGGAAGCAGCAGCATGGCCCCCCTCCGGTTCCTACGAGTAGGGGCAGCCAGGGGGCTCTGCATGCTGCACCCACCCCAAGCACCGCCCCCGCAGCTCCCATTGGCCAGGAAATGCAACCAATGGGAGCTGCAGGGACAGCGCCTGCAGACAGGGCAGCGCACAGAGCTTCCTGGCCGCACCTCCGTGTAGGAACCAGAGAGGGGATATGCTGCTGCTTCTGGTAGCTGCGTGAGGTGTCGCCTGGGGCCTGCACCCCTGACCCTCTCCTGCACTCCAACCCCCTGCCCCAGCCCTGATCCCCCTCCTGCCCTCCAAACCCCTCAGTCCCAGCCCAGAACACCCTCTTGCACCTCCAACCCCTCATCCCCAGCCCCACCCCAGAGCCCATACCCCCAGCAAGAGCCCTCACCCCCTCCTAAACCCCAACCCCCAATTTTGTGAGCATTCATGGCCCACCATACAATTTCCATACCCAGATGTGGCCTCGGGCCAAAAAATTTGCCCACCCCTGCCTTAGGCAGTGGTTCTCAACCGGGGGACGCAAACCCCTGGGGGTATGCAGAGATCTTCCAAGGGGTATGTCAACTCATCAGAGATTTGCCTAGTTTTACAACAGGGTACATAAAAAGCACTAGTAAAGTCAATACAAACTAAAAATTCATACAATGACTTGTTTATACTGCTGTATATACTATACACTGAAATGTAAGTACAATATTTATATTCCAGCTGATTTATTTTATAATTATATGGTAAAAATGAGAAAATCAGCAATTTTTCAGTAATAGTGTGCTCTGACACTTCTGTCTTTTTATGTCTGATTTTGTAAGCAAGTCGTTTTTAAGTGAGGTGAAACTTGGGGGTACGCAAGACAAATCAGACTCATGAAAGGGGTCCAGTAGTCTGGAAAGGTTGAGAGCCACTGCCCTTGGGTATCTTCCATTAAACCAAAGTCCACCTCCACTCAAGCCCAGGCCCCGGTGTATTAATTAGCTCTGCAGGACACGGAGTAATATGCCCCAGTGCAGTCCCACCCCCGCATCAGATCCTGCTGCCTCTCTCTTACCTGGGAAAAGGCATTCCTTGGTTGGCACATGCACGTGGGAACACTTTGCTTCCAGAAGCCCTGGGTGGGCACAGTTCTCATGTTTGCAATGTGGAGGGAACAAGATTTTACTCAAAAGCACACGGCCAGCTCCTGCATTGACCTCCTTGGCACTAGCCTGATTTACACCAAGGAAGGGTGAACCGTGTGGCGAGGGGACACCGCCCAGCAGGGCCAGCTTGAAAACAGGAAAAGAGCCTTTCTGCTTCTAAATGAGAAATGAATGGAACCCGCCCAGGGCATGAATCCTTGCAGGAAACGTGTCCAGGGTCTGTTCACTCAGCAGCATCTAACTCTGGGCTGGATGGCTCTGTGGCGCCCCCGCTTGGCCATGGAAGCAGCTGCATTCCCCTTCCCAGGTCTGCAGGCTGCCCTAGAGAATGCTCCTGGGGTGGAGAAGAGAGCCCAGTTCTGCATCCGATGAAGTGAGCTGTAGCTCACGAAAGCTTATGCTCAAATAAATTGGTTAGTCTCTAAGGTGCCACAAGTACTCCAGTTCTGCTGTGACTCCACCAGGAGGAGCTGCCTCACAGTGGATGGAACTGCCTGTCGGGTCTCATCTCCGAACAGGAAATCCAGCCCAGACCTGAGCACGCTTGGTACCATGATTCTGGGCAGAGCCATGGAGCACACACACCCACAAGGACCAGACAGGAACTGAGCTGCCCGTCATGGCAGGGTCAATCAGCTGGCCACGAGTGAGGCAGGAATTGAATTGCACCAAACACAGAAGGGGCAAGTCCTTGTCTTGCACAGCTCACACCACACTTCTATGCGCTGGAGGGCAACAGAGTCAGGTCACCCTTGCCCCTTCCTAGCCAACGATTTACTTCCTACAGCCAGTCTGGCTCTAGGATTCAGTGCTAGGAGACATGTTGCCTGCCAGCCACCTGGGGAGAGCCCAGTGCTAAGGGTATGACGCGGGCACCAGCCAGTGTGTTAAGAGATGTCCCACCTGGAAAAAGAGTTGATGGAGTTCCCAGTCTGCTCGAGAGCTATTTGGGAACACCGAGCATTGTATAAGGGAACAGGCGTGTGCAGAGCAGGATCCATCAGGCCAATGACTCGCCCTCAGCTGGATTCACACCATCCTGCCCATCAGCCCTCTGGTCAGGAAAGCCAGCATCCCGGTAGCCATCCACTCACCCATTGTCCTCCGGCCACCGACCAGCCTGCCCCAGGAGAGCCTGGGGGAAGGAGCTGCAGGGAGAAGCTGCCAATGCAAAGAGGCATTTTGGAGCCAGAGGACGGGCATCTAAAGTGGCACTAAATATTAACCGAGAATGGGTGCAGTGCCCATCCCCCCAGCTTTAACCAGCACTAAGTCCACACACAGGCTTGGGTTTGGGTTTTTTTTTTTTAAACAGAAGTTTATGGTTATATGCAAATTAGGTTATTAAATGATTTGCATAAAATGTTCTCGCAGGACAGCAACTATTCCTAATTCCCCTTCCCCCCCCAGAAAGTAGCGACCCTACTCAGCCTAGCGCACTTGCACATCTGCCCCCTGCCGGCAGGCACATGCCCTGGGTCACACACACACGCACCTCCCAGATGGAGGAGTGCAGCATTTCCATGCAGCCACCCCCCCCCCGGCCTTGTCTTAAAATAGCTCCCCCCCCCCGTCCGGCTCACATGCACACGCCCCCCCAACACAAGCATCTCTCCTAAATGCACGACAGACACGCACCCTCCCACCGCTGCTCGGACTCACCTCCCCGTGCGCTCACACACACACACGTACGTACGTACGTACGTGCACTCAGCCCCCACCCCCAGCCACTCCTGCTCGTACAAGTGCGCCGCTGCCTGATTGTCCCTGTGCCCCCAGCGTGCCCTGCCGGGCAGTCATACACTCCTGTGCACACACCTCTCGGGTGCAATCACAGCCAGTCACTTACACACACACACAGCATGCCCCCCTGCATTCACACGTTGCCATCCTGAGCACAGCTGGCTCTCCCCCATGGCCACAGACATCCAGCTGTGTGCGCACACATCCTGGGCACTAACACCCTCCCACTGCTCAGACAGACACCACCTTCACAAGCACACATGCTCACGCTCATGCCATGGACACCACCCCTCCTACGCCCCCTGGCAACCAATCACAGCCTCCCAGGGCTGCTCACCCTCACATACACCCCTCCATTCCCAAACAAATCCCCCTGCCACACGGCTGCCTCATTCACACACACTGGACTTGTGTACACACGCACAATGCAGTACATGCTCACCCACTTGCACTCAGACACGCACCACTATGGCCTTACACACTTCCCACTGCACACCAGCCCTGCAGAGCTCTCCCATACATGTGCCACATGCTCACACCCATGCATTGCTTACACATCTGCCACTGCAAGTTCACAAGCACATGCATTCGCGCCCCCCCCCACATATCTGCAGTCCTGCCTGCAGCCCACACATTCACACCCCATTCTCACTGACATGCACACCACAGGCTCGCACACTTCTCCCCACATGTCGCACACCCACCCCACACACGCCTTCCCCCCCCCCGGAGAGGTGCTGGTGCAGACACTCAAACTGCACCCACACCTGCCATAAACTTACACTGGCATTGTCGGTTCCCCAGCTCTCACACACGCACCGACGTGTTTGCACACCAGGCATATTCCCAAATGGTCCCCTCTCTCCCCCCCGCCACACACACGCCTCCAGCACACACACGCAGCCTCTGTAGCGGGCACCCCCCCCTCCCACCACACTCACCCCTGCCCTGCCATGTCCAGGCGCACGCCGCGTGCCCACCCCGTGCGCTCACCCCCAGACTCCGGGAGGGCTGTCCGCACACCGTGTCCGTCACTGTCCATGACAGCCCCCAGCCACTCCTAGCTATTGGTCAGGAAGAGGCGTCTGTGTTTGGAGGCGGAGCCACGCGGCCGGCCCCGGCGCCGGCCCCGCCCCCGGCTGCCATAGGGGTTCCTGCTGGCCATGGCGCTCTCTCCCCAGCCGGCGCTGCCCAGGGTCGGCCCGGGGAAGCTGACTTCCGCTTTGGGCGGCTGGTCTAGGAGCCCGCCGGCCTCGGCCTCGGCGGGCGGGGCCTGGCTCTGGCAGGCGCTGGCCCGCTCCTGCCGCAGGTACCGCAGCTCGTCCCGGATGTCCGTCAGGACGCCCAGCAAGCGGAACTGCAGCTCCCTGTCCCGCGCCCGCTCCTCCCGCTGCGTGGCCCGCTCCTCCTGCCACATGGCCAGCTCCTGGTGGTACAGCTGGTCCCACTGCTCCTCCAGGTCCAGCAGGCGGTGGATGTTAGTCCTCCAGCTCTCCCTCCTGCCCTCCCGCAGCCAAGAGCAGCCCAGGCCCCGCGAGGGCGGCACCGGGGCAGGGGGCTGGTCCTCCTGAGGCGAGGCGGAGGAGGGCAGGGACTCCTCGGTGAGCGCGCCATGCAGCGGGGAGCGCGCCTGCTGCTGCTCCTCCTCCTGCTGCTGCTGCTTCTCCCACGTGGGCCCCATCAGTACCCTGGGCAAGGAGCCCGCCTCGGGGCCCCGGCTGCCCTCCTCCTCTTCTGGCTGGGAGGCGTCCAGCACCCTGCCCAAGGAGGGGAGGTCGGAGACCCCTTCGTGGGCCCAGTCTGCGTGAGCGTCCACGTGGTTGAGCGTATCCTCGGGGAGGGAGCTCATGGAGCCCTGGGAATTGCACCGGCGGATGAGCATGGCCTGCCGGGATGCCTTCGCGCTTTCCTCGGCCGACAGCTGGGACTCTGGGACAGGCTGAAGGCCCATCGCTGCGCCGGGGCACCCGTCCACCTCCTGGCCTTCCCGCTCTTCTTCCTCCGACATGGAGGCGTAGGAGACAAGGGACTCGTTTCTCAGAGGCGGGGACATGGCCGACATCTCTGGAGTTCGCAGCTCCGGCCCCGATTCGGCTGAAACAGAAGAGAAGCTAGCAGGTAAGTCTATCTGCTTCACCATCTGTGGCGCCATGCATTAGATTCCCAATTGGTCCCCTCTCCCCACATCCCTGGGAACACCCCAGGATCATCTTCTTACTAAAAATCCACTCAAAGCAGCCACAGACACACAGACCCCTGGCAGGGCTGCATGGGCACTGCTCAGACCCACCAGGAACGTTCAGTATCCTTTCCTGACAGCAGCCAGAACCTGCTACTTTGCTGGCAGGTGTAAGAAGCCTGCGGTAGCAGATATGGGATAATCTGGCCCCACAGTGGGAGTCTCCTCCTAAACCCCAATACTTTGAGGCTGTCTTGAGCCCTGAACCATGAGGTTGTTACATCCCTTCCAATTTATTTTTGAGGATTAAGTTGGATAATGCTGGCTAGTTTGCTCATCCATATAAATGCTCACTCTATCTTGGAATCTTGCTAAATTCTTGACCTCAACAATATCCAGTGGCAGTGAGTTCCACAGGCTACTTGTGTGCTGCAGGAAAAATGTTTATTGTCTAGGATCAGTTTGAAATTTGCTGCCTTTTCGTTTCATTGACTGTCTCCTTGTTCTTGTGTTAGGAGACCTGGACACTAGAGGGCAAGAGCACTGGAATAGTCACCCACAGTTTGAGCATTGTGAATGCACAAGTGTTTGCCCTGAAGCTAACCACTGGGCTGTTCGAAGCGGACAGTGGAGACACATCTTTGCAAAGAGTTTCTCCAGAAGTGCATGGAGATCTGAGATTTGACTATGGGGCCCTACTCCATTCCGGGTGTAACTTCACTGGGGCTACGTAATGGACATGCTTGGCCCAGGTTCTCAGAGTCACAATCATTTCACCATTTTTAATAACAAATGTAACCACTCCTTGGCCTTCAACAGCATCCCCACCGCGGCGCCTGCAGGAGACAGCGCGTCACAAAAAAGTCATTATTAGTGTGATCATTTTCCCCATGCTCAGGAGCCTCTGGCTGAGCCTTTAACAGGCACCAGCCACTGCTTTCCCCAACTATCAAAGAGGCCTGTGCCCTGGACAGTCAGCCTGGCCTTCACTGTGGCTACTGGCAGCTTCTCCATTACTCCTACCTGAACTGCTCTGCCCCTCGCCTCGGCTGTATTCACAGATCACAGAAGGGTCTGGACTCTGGACTGCGAGCCGAGGCACGGCGGAACCTTCCACGTCAGGCAAAGAAGAGGGCTGCCCGTTGGTGTCTATGTAGATGCTGGGGTGGCTGACTGCAGGCTGGAAGGCCATGATCGATTGTTTGGACGCACCTGGGAAGAACAAGTCTGCAAGAGAAAGACGATTGACTTAAGAGGATAGCGACTATCATGCGATCACAGGCTAGGATTCCCCAAGGGAAACATCCTATAGGACTTTTCATAGATCCCAAGGCCAAGAGGGACCATTGTGATCATCTGGTCTGACTGCCTGCATAGCCCAGGCCAGGGAACTGCCCCAAAATGATTCTTAGAGCAGATACTTTAGAAAAACATCCAACCTTGGCTGAAAATTGTTAGTGAAGGAGAATCCACCACCACGCTTGGTCAATTCTTCCAACAGTTAATTACTCTCACCATTAAAAATGTGTGTGTCATTTCCAATCTGAATTTGTCTAGCTTAACCCAGCCATTGGAATTGGAATGAACCCCACAGAGGCATGTAAAAATTACTCCAACAAACTACAGAACTTAAGTGAACTAGATGCTTTCTATAGGTTTTCAGAACAGCCCTATAAAATTCTATAGCAGGGAGATCAGTCTCTGATCAGCGCTCCAGGACGGTCCAAAAACACCCTACAGAAAGATCAGGATTTTCTATGAAGTCCAACAGGATATTTCCATTGTGTTTTTATATAAGCCGTGTTTAGCCCAAAAACAGCCTGGATTTTTTACAGTATACATTTAAATTAACAATTTGTGCTTGTATGTCCCTCCTTCACCAAAAGCTAGTGATCTGATCTGATCTTAAAGGTGAGCAGCAAAGGGAACGAAAATTGAAGTTGGCCCCTTTTATTTATTTTTGGTCCTCTATAAAGTATAAAAGGCTGCCTGAAATGGTTCTTTAAACAAACAAAAAACCCAAGGTTTTGTTTGTTTGACCTTCAACATATTGAGAATGTCCAGTCTGGTCTTTCCTGCTTTAGTGGTAGTTCCAGACATCTGGACTAGGAGCTCTCTCCATGTTTCGCTGAAGGAGGAGAGAGTCTTTAACCCTGAGGTTTCTCTCCCAAGTGTGTCTCATGCACTTGAGTTAAATAGTGGGTAACAAAAAGCAAATAAAACAAAGAGTTTTAATCACTCTGGAAAAAAAATCACTCTCTCAATTAGGCCCCACTCCTTCAAGGTACTTAAGCACATGCCTAACTTTAGCACCAAATCAGCAAAGCACTTAAGCACATGCTTAACTTTAAGCAGTGTGGGTAAGTATAACTGAAGTCAAAGCATGTGCTTAAGTGCTTTGATTAAGAGGGATGGCCTTGAGTATGTTTAAAAAGTTAGACAGGTGCATAAGTGCTTTGCTGAATCAGAGCCTTCATCAGGTGACTCTTGACATCAGACAAATCATGCATGTTCCTTCAAGTTCTACAGTAGAGCAGAGAGTCTCACAGGAAAAAGAGACCAGAGGAAACCTACATTTCTAATGTAAAAACAAGCAGACTCCCTTGTGCCTCCCCATCCCCCACTTTTGGTTTTTGGGTGTGGGGGGAGAAACTTTTCAACCCTACTTGATACACCTGAGGACTTGTTGTCACTGCAGAGTTAACTCGAGTGCAGCCCAAATCCTGCCCACACCCAAAAGCCCTGAACTCCGGTTGGCTGGCTTATCCAAGGACAGAGGCTAAAGCTCAAGTGAGCACAACGTGTCAGCAAGTGCAACCACTGCACAGCTCCAGTGCCATTTCACAGTGGCACTGTTGACTCCGAAGAACACATGCCCATGCAGTCAAAAGAGGGCACGAACCCATGATTTTCCCCCTTGCAAGTCACCTGTAAAAGGGATGCGATCAGGCTAGACGCAGTATTTAGAGGTTTTTAAAAACAAAAAAGTTTTACAAAACCGAAGAGCAACAGGAATATTTTCACCATTTTTTAAAAAAATTCCAGGGAAAACTATTTCCTTTAGTTTGGCTATTTGAGTATAAACATTTCCCAGCAGCCTTTGCCACCCAGACATGACAGTATTCTCCTACTGCAGGAAAACCCAAAAGGGAGACTGACTAGAAAAAAGGCAAAACTGACAAGTCTTTTTTCACTATCCTCTCTGAGCTAGCACAATAAGTAAATGTTCACCAGGAACCAAGTCCCAGAGGGCCAGGGATTTGTTACATTACTGTTAGGTGAGGCTGATGTGTTCAGATGATGACAACAGGATGGAAACAGATATTCATGAAAGCCCCTTTCCCTGGAGGAATGGTCTTCTGGCTCCATCTCCTTTACCCATAGACCTCCCTGACCCTACCACCATTGTGAGCTCATGTGCATCAGACCTGCTATCAGAGAAACCCAAAGGTTAGCTCACCGGGGTCAAAGATGATCTCGGGCTCTGAATCATGGCTGGCCTGTAAGAAGGTAGAGGCCACCATCTTCTCCAGGGGAGTGAGGCGGGGTTTGTGGAGAGGCCCTCCTGCCCTGTTCATAGGGGGATGCTTCTTTGAGGTGATCTTCTTCTTGACGTCCAGCCGAAGGTCTCGCCACTTGTGCTTGAGATCATCAATGGAGCGCTCCGTGTAGCCCAGGAAGTTGACCCGGCTCTGGATCTGGGTCCACAGCTGCTTCCGCCGCACAGGGTGAGCTCGGAGGGATTCGGAGCCGTAGAGGGCGCTGAAGTGCCGAACCACGTTCCAGACCAGAGTCTCAGTCTCGTCGTTGGAGAAATTGGCTTTCCTCTTCCGGCCAGATGTGGCCAACCCCTGGGAGGCTGCAGCAGAAGTGGAAGGGGCACAGTTGAACCTAGGTCCCCACTCCTCTCGGTCGGCTCCTGAGGAAAACATTGGGCTCCGGGACCCAGAGGGAGCCGAAGAAGGAGGAGCAGAAGCCAGAGCAGCTGAGGAATCCATGGTGCCAAGGGGAAAAAGGCCTGGAGCCAATCCTGCTCCGGGACACAAATCCGGACGGATATGGGTGGTTTGGGAGGATTAAAGAACTGCTCCAGAGTGCCAGGTGGCGGGGGAGACGCTCATCCCAGCTTGAAAGCACCTGAGAGAGGAGAAAAAGCCAGAGGTAAAGGCGGGCTGTCTAAGCACCCTCCTTAGACAATCCATCTTGTAGTGGAAGAGTTGATAACCCCCAGTTAGACCCATTAGCCCACTCCAAGCCTGGGATCCTCCGTGGGTGGAGAACCAGAGCCAACACCTGCTTGGTCAGACATGCATGACAGAAGAAAGACTTGCCCGTCCTGCTAAGCGCTCTGTGCCTCAGTTTCCACATGTGCGAATGGAGATAATACTGCACCCCTGCCACACTGGGGAGTTGTGAGGACTGCAAGGTGCACAGAGACCATGGAGATGGGGACCAGGAAAGTACCGAAACAGCTGGATATCAGACCTGGTCCAAAATTGCCCAACAGAACCATGGTTTTCGGTCAGAAAACGCCCCTTTGTCAAAATCGAACCGTTCCACGGGAACCTGCCCATGCCAGCGAAATTTGGTTTAGAAAGGGGGAAAAACCGTGAAATCGAGCTTTTGCACAAGGCTTGAAACGGCCCCTTGAGACCTTAGCCGGGCGGAACGCTCCAATGTCTCGTTTCAAAGTGACTTCGTCTGGAATTTGTCTGGTTTCGTGATATTATGATTTCACTTGTAGATATCACTCTATAGCTTATAAAATAAAATATAGCTATAGCCCACACATGCACCCATACTGTGTATACACACGCACACACAGAGCACTACCAAGCGCACAGACTCATAGCGTGTGCAGCCGCACGCACGCGGGCACGCGCGCACACAGGGCTATGCCGGGCACACACACACGCACGCGCACACACGCACACAGGGCTATGCCGCGCACACACGCACGCACGCGCACACACAGGGCTATGCCGCGCACACACGCACGCACGCGCACACACAGGGCTATGCCGCGCACACACGCACGCACGCGCACACACAGGGCTATGCCGGGCACACACGCACGCGCACGCACGCGCACACACGCACACAGGGCTATGCCGGGCACACACGCACGCACGCACACACACGCACACAGGGCTATGCCGGGCACGCACGCACGCACGCACACGCACACAGGGCTATGCCGTGCACACGCACGCACGCACACACACACACAGGGCTATGCCGGGCACGCGCACGCACACACACACAGGGCTATGCCGGGCACGCGCACGCACACACACAGGGCTATGCCGGGCACGCACGCGCACGCACACACACACACACACACACACAGGGCTATGCCGGGCACGCGCGCGCACGCACACACACACACAGGGCTATGCCGGGCACGCGCGCACACACACACACAGGGCTATGCCGGCACGCGCACACGCGCACGCACACAGGGCTATGCCGCACACAGGGCTATCGGCACGCACGCGCGACACGCACACACACACACAGGGCTATGCCGGGCACGCGACACGCACGCACACAGGGCTCTGCCGGGCACGCGCGAAGACGCACACACGCGCACGCACACAGGGCTCTGCCGGGCACGCGCGCACGCACACAGGGCTCTGCCGGGCACGCGCACGCACACAGGGCTCTGCCGGGCACGCGCGCACGCACACAGGGCTCTGCCGGGCACGCGCGCGCACACGCGCACGCACACAGGGCTCTGCCGGGCACGCGCGCGCACACGCGCACGCACACAGGGCTCTGCCGGGCACGCGCGCGCACACACGCACACAGGGCTCTGCCGGGCACGCGCGCACGCACACAGGGCTCTGCCGGGCCGGGCACGCACACGCGCACACACAGGGCTCTGCCGGGCACGCGCGCACACAGGGCTCTGCCGGGCACGCACACAGGGCTCTGCACAGGGCTCTGCCGGGCACGCGCGCACGCACACAGGGCTCTGCCGGGCACGCGCGCGCACACACAGGGCTCTGCCGTGCACACGCGCGCACACACGCACACACAGGGCTCTGCCGTGCACACGCGCACACACAGGGCTATGCCGTGCACACGCGCGCACACAGGGCTATGCCGTGCACACGCGCGCACACAGGGCTATGCCGTGCACACGCGCGCACACATACACACGCACGCGCGCACACATACACACACACAGGGCTCTGCCGTGCACACACACACGCGCACGCACACACACGGCTCTGCCGTGCACACACGCACACACACACGCACACACACACACACACACGCGCACACACACAGGGCTATGCCGTGCACACGCACACACAGGCACACACTCTCCAAGCTCAACATTTTCTGCATACCACGGCCGGCTGGGGAGCTAATCTGCTCTGCTCTGCTCCCCCCGCCCCAGCGCTGAGCCGCTCAGCGGCCTCCTGCGAGCGCAGCCCGCCCGGCTGGGGCCGGCCCCCCGCGCCCGGCCCCCCCGGGCTGCTCCTGCGGCAGCGGCGGGGCTGGCAGGCGGCAGCCTTTTGTTCGCTTCCCCCTCCCCCGCTCGGCGGGGCGCGGGTCGGAGCCAGCGGCGCGGCTGGGGCTGCAGGGCTGGACAGGGACGGGGCTGGACAGGGGGACAGGGACGGGGGGGAGGGACAGGACAGGACAGGACTGGGGCGGGGGGGGGAGGGACGGGACTCCTGGGCCCTTCCCAGGGGCCGCCCGCACCGCACCCTGCTGCCCCAGCCCCGCGCCCGGCGGCGGAGCGCGCCCAGCCCGGGGCGCCCCGGCCCCCGCCGAGGACAATGGGAGCCCCGGGCGGGCTCCGCGGTGCCGGAGCCGCCCCCCCTCCGCCTGGCTCGGCTCCAGCCCGGCCGAGCCGCCGCTGCAGCAGGGAGAGGCGCGCGGAGCCCCCGGGGCCAGCCCGGCCGGCGGCTCAAGTTCTGGTGCCGCCGGGGAAGGGCCCTGCCCCCCGGGGCGAGGGGGGGGGGAACCCCGGCCCCCTGCCGGGACCCGCGCTCCCGCCGCCCCTCCGGCCAGCGCCGCAGCCAGTGGGTCCCGCTGCCAGAGCGGGGGCCAGCGGCGAGAGCCTGCGTCGCCCCCCGGGCAGGGCTCGCGGCAGGCTCGGCTCCGCTGCCGGGGGCGGCCCGGACGGGGCGGCCCGGCCCGGCGCTTCGCCCTTGTCCGCGAACTCCCAGCCCCGCCGCTCGCCCCGTGCCCCGGCTGCTGGGGCCAAGCGGCCCCGCCGCGCCCGCTGCCCACGGCCCACCTGAGCAGGGCGCCCGGCGGCGGCGCTCGGGTCCCCCCAGCGCCCGGCCGCAGGCTGGGCTCCGCGCCCCGGCTCCCCGCGCCCGCACTCACGGCGCTTGGCGCTGGGCGCTCCAGCTTCTTGGGCTAATGGCTCCTGACTCAGAGGAACTCGCCTTCATTTCCTCTGCCTCCGAGTGGCAGGCACGGCGAGCCGCCGGCGAGCCTGCTGCTGCCCTCTGCTGGCTCCCGACCCACGGAGGCTTGTTCTCCAGCGGGGGTGGTGGGGGGAGAGGTCAGCTACAGGGTTTGCTTGTTGGAGGCACCCTGCACACGGTCTAATAAACGGACCCCCCCCCCAACCCCCGCTCCACCTTGGCTTGGCACAAATGCTGCCTTCTCCCTCCTCCTCTTTCTGCTTGGCTGAGTTCCCCAACACCGAAACCTGGGATGGAGCAGGTGGAAAGCAGCCCTCAGGCCAGGAGAGATGGCCTCTACTCTGGGCTCTGCTACAGCCTTCCTGTGTACCCTTGGCCACATCCCCTAGCCTCTCTGTGCTTCAGGTCCCCAGCACGAAACTGGGGACAGTGATGCTCCCCTACCTCACAGGGAGCAGGTGAAGATTAACCCATAAATATCTGGGAGGAGGTGCTCAGATGAGGGGGGGCGTCTAGGCAGATAAAAAGATTGCAGTTACATGATGCAATTTTTCTCTGTTTCTGTATAGTTTTGTTTCTCTTATCTCCCAGCCCCAGTCTGTTATATCCACTTGTTGCATCCTGACACCTAGATGGTGAACTCTCTGGGGCAACGAGTGTTTTCTGTGTTACTTCTCTGTGCAGCAGCTAGCATAATGGGCCGTGTGTCTTACATTCAAACAATATACAAGGAATAGCAGCTTTCATGTACACTAGATCCCCAACATGTTTTAGAATTAAATAAAACAGATAAGATAAAAAATAACAGAAGGGGAGAGAAACTGAGTGTAGGAAAAGGAATCTGAGAACCTAGCAAGCTACACATGCAGTTCACCTAGGGAGAACCTGGGCAGGATTTTTCCTGTTGCATACTCAAGATAGTTCAGTCCAAAGCTGACTGCAAAGAATTACAAAGGGGTCTCACTAAACTGGGTGACTGGGCAACCACATGACAGATGAAATTCAGTGTTGATAAGTGCTAGATAATGCACACTGGGAAAAATAATTCCAACTATACATACAAAATAATGGGACCTAAATTTGCTGTTACCACTCAAGAAAGTGATCTTGGCATCATTGTGGATAGTTCTCTGAAAATAACAGTCAAAAAAGCAAACAGAATGTTAAGTACCATTAGGAAAGGGATAGAAAATAAGACAGAAAATATCATAATGCCTCTATATAAATCCATGGTGCACCCACATCTTGAACATTGTGCCCGGTTCTGGTCACTCCATCTGAAAAAGGACAGAGTGGAACTGGAAAAGTTTCAGAGAACAGCAACAAAGATAATCAAGGGTATGGAACAGCTTCTATCTGAGGAGATATTAAAAAGATTAGGGCTGTTCATCTTAGAAAAGAGACAACTAAAGCAGGGTATGATAGAAGTCTATCAAATCATGAATGGTGTGGAAAAAGGGAATAGAGAAGTGATATTTATCTGCTTCCACAATACAAAAACTCGGGGTTACTCAATGAAATGAATAGGCAGCAGGTTGAAAACAAACAAAAGGAAGTACTTCTTCACACAATGCACAGTCAAGCTGTGGAACTCATTGCCTGGGGATGTTGTGCAGGCCAAAAGTATAACCGGGTTAAAAAAAAAACCACTAGGTAAGTTCATGGAGGACAGCTCCATCAATGGCTGTTAGTCAAGATGGCCAGGATGCACCTCACTCATCGATTGTCCCTGAACCTCTGACTGTCAGAAGCTGGGACTGAACCACAGGGATGGATCACTCACAATTGCCCTGTTCTGTTCATTCCTTCTGAAGCACCTGGCCACGGTTGGAAGACAGGATACAGGACTAGATGGACCATTGGTCTGACGAAGTATGGCCATTCTTATGTTCTATATCCAGTCCAAGATGGAGGTTCCCTTGGGAGAGTAGCTCACGATCTAAGAGATTGGTAGAGAAAGTCAGGGGATTTGGCTGAGATTTGAAAAGCAGATGGCGAGCGGATAGGACAGAGGATTACGTGTTGTCTACACACACGTTAGAATCCATTTAACTACACCGATATAGTGAAAGTGGGACAACCCTCCTACTGTGCACGCAGTTCTGCTGGTATAAAGGAGCTTATCCTGGTTTAGCTGATACTTGCCAGAAAGGGGAATAAGCTATAAGGTGTCGTTATACTGGTGAGCCCATGTCCAGACTAGCAGTTATATTGATATAATGAAGGTGGTTAAAAAAAAAAATCACACCCTACTCGAAATAGTTATACCAGTACAAAAGCTATGTCTAGGTGAGGTCTTACAGGAAAGTTACAGGGAGAGAGTGGCCGCCCTGAGACTCGAGGAGAAATGCCTTTGTCCCTGGGGCTCCCCTGTGACCGGGGTACAGGGACCAAGTCAAGGACAGGATTGTGGGAGGTTCAAGAGACTAGTAAATCCCATCCCAAATGTGCATATTAGCAGATCATGGACAGCTGGTGGCACCCTCGAGACTGGATGCTGAGTCTCTCTGGAGGAGAAGAGCTGCTGTTAGAGAGGGAGTGAGCCCAGGAGGAGGAGCCAGCACCTAAACCGTATGGTGTGGGAGGAAAGAGGTGGCTGGTTCAGTTTCTGCCCGGTGACAGCGTGGCAACAACACCTGCAGCCCTGGAAACCAAAGGAGGGAGTGGAGTGGCAAAGCAAGATGTGGGGGAGTTTCAGTTTAGGCAGGGCGCAGGTGAAGCGTGAGGGTGTTTGCCTCTGGCTAGTGCACGGCCTCTGTCCCCAAGGAAGAGAATGGCTGTAAATGGTCATCAGCGAGGGCCAACCTTTCCTGGCGTTCTCTTTCCTCCAAAAAGAATTTCACAAAGGGCCTGATCCTGCCACTGCCAGGTCTGCGAGGGGCTGAGCACCCTCAGCTCCCACACCCTGCAATGTGCTTAATCATGACACAACAACACAGCCTGAGGAGCAGTTTGCTCAAGCGTGGGATTAAGAATATAAGATTGAGAACAGCCAGACTGGGTCAGACCAATGGGCCATCGAGCCCAGTATCCTGTCTTCCAACAGTGGCCAGTGCCTGGGCTTCAACGGGACTGTACAGAACAGTTAGAAGTTTAGGGTGACCCTGAGCATGGAATTGCATTCTTGACCATCTTGTCTAATAGCCATTGATGGACCTCTCCTGGATGAATTTATCTAATCCCTTTTCTGAAACAAGTTATACTTTTGGCCTTCACAGCATCCCATGACAATGAGTTCCGCAGGTTAACTGTGGATTGTGTGAAAAAGTACTTCCTCTTGTTTATATGAATCCTGCTGGCTATTAATTTCATCGGCTGATCCCTGTTTTTTGTATTATGGGAAAAGGTAAATACTACGTCTCTGTTCACTTTTTCCACACCATTCACGACTTTACAGACCTCTATCATACCCTCCCTTAGTTGTCTCTTTTCTAAGATAACAGCCGTAATCTTTTTAGTCTCTCCTCATATGGAAGCCATTCCATAGCCTTGATTATCTTTGTTCCCCTTCTCTGGACCTTTTCCAGTTCCACTCTATCCTTTTTGGGGTGACCAGAACTGGACATGATATTCAAGGTCTGGATTTATAGAGTGGCATTGGGATATTTTCTGTCTTATTCTCTACACTTTTTACTAATAGTTCCTAACATTGTTAGCCATTTTGACCCCTGCTGTGCACTGAGCTGAAATTTTCAGAGAAGTATCCATGGTGACTCCAGGATCTCTTTCTTGAGCGGTAACAGCTAATTTAGAACCCATAATTATATATGTGTAGTTGGGATTATTTTTTCCAATGTACATTACTTTGCACTCATCAATGTTGAATTTCATTTGCTATTTTGTTGCCCAGTCACCTAGTTTTGTGAGATCCCTTTGTCATTCTTCATAGCCTGTGTTGGATTTAACTATCTTGAATCATTTTGTATCATCCACAAATTTTGCCATTTCCCTGTTCAACCCCCATTAATGAACACATTGAACAGTACAGGTCCCAGCACAGATCCTGGGGGACCCTGCTGTTTAACTCTCTCCATTGTGAAAACTGACCATTTATTCCTACCCTTTGTTTCCTATCTTTTAACCAGTTATTGATCCATCAGAGGACCTCCCTATTATCTCATGACTAGTTAGTTTTCTTAAGAGCCTTTGGTGAGGGACCTTGTCCAAGGCTTTCTGAAAATCCAAGTACACTGTATTGACTGGATCACCCTTATCCACCTGCTTGTTCACACCCTCAAAAGAATTCTCCGAGATTGGTGAGGCATGACTTCCCTTTACAAAGGCCGTGTTGATTCTTCCCCAACAAATCATGTTTATGGATGTGTCTGATAATTCTGTTCTGTACTATAGTTTCTAGATGAGTTACTAGTCCATAATGCAGGAGTGGCTCATTTTGACAATTCTCTTTGGTAGATGAGCCCCTCACAGCAACTGAATTAATGGAAAAGTCCCTAGAAGCAGCTATTTAAAAAGTCCCAGCAGATTCAAGGGGTCTTGTATTGAGCTTTGTTGGAACTCTGCAACACCCGTCACAGCACTTTATCAGAGTCACCAGCTCAGCAAGCCATGGGCAGAGGTGACAGCATCTAACAAACGTCTTGAGTTAACCCTGATGCAGAGACATGCCAGGAAAGGAGAGAAGAAATACCATGGCACAAAGGCCAACCAGATACCCTGGCTGCAAGTGGCACAGAGTGTTAAAGCCAAACAGAAAGTGGTCGGCAGCCTGCCCAGTCAGCAGTGAGACCATTTACCCCAACAGCTGATGTCATAACCACCCCCAGGCTCAGTGCCACCGGAGGTGCAGGGGACATCTTGCTAGAAGCAAGGAGCACATTGGCTCTCTTGGTGATGGACGTCCACAACGCTACCACCAGTGTGCCTGTGACATGCTGTAACCAGCCCCACTGCAGGGAGTGGCTGTAGGACACCAGTCCCGAGTGGCCTGGTAGCTCATGGGGTGCACCATGCGCTCAGAGGAGTCCAAGCAACGGGCTCTACAGGCTCCAGCAGGGCTGGCACCTGCCTGGGCTTTCCTAAGATTGTCCCTC